ATCAAAAATTCATTCGTTTACAAATGTGGTATGTATTATCTCATCGGAATGCATTTCTAATCATCAGAAGTACGCGCATGTGCAGATCGCATGCAGCTTCGACTATTATGATTACTAAACTAATTTAATCAATAACATTTCTAGCTTTACATGTGTCTTGTCTGGGCAGAGGTTTCAAATTGGAACAAGAAGACATTTTGTTCATCATTGAAAAAGGGCGACTTTGATTATTTTAAAGTCATCTTTTAATTTTGTAAAGTATTTATTTTCTTGGCCTGAGATGTCAATTTGAATTAAAAACGTATTAGATATCACTTAGCGACATTTAGTCTACTGCGTTTGATTTTATCAGTCAAAGCAAGGATTTGTTTAAAACTTCGCCTGAAAATAACTCTTGTCCATGTACAAAACACTTCGATAAGTATAGACTTTAAGTAGGTTCTTTTTTAACATTGCATTTAAAATTGTTGAATTATCCGGCGGTGTTGATTACATGACTTCTAGGTCAAATTTATTGTTATTTTTTTAGACTTAAAGTCTTACTTTACATATTTTGTACTAAACGCTCTTAGAGCGTGAAGTCGGGCTATTTTGGAAAAAATGAGACAGGATATTTTTCCTGGCTCGATATTTCTATCGTTTTGACGTCGTTACAGAAAGCCGTCAAAAAAGTATATCGTGGCGTCTTCCTCAACTGAAGAAATGGAAAAAAGTTCTTTTTTTAATCAATCAATCTTTTCCTAGTCATTCTGTTAACAACATTTAAGCACTTACAGTAGATACGGGCTGTCAGTTACATGTAACCAATGACGAAAACAGAAATCAGAGCAAAAGTAGTGCAGGATCTAGGGATAGATAGATAGGTTTATTTAATAAAACTACATTGCATCTTATACACTGAATTGCGTAGATGCTGTTTACAATTATAAATAGTTAGTAAAAACAAAGAGAAATAATAAATAAGAAGAAGAGATAGAACAAATCCCAGTTGGACAGAAGCAGCTAGTGGCTTACTATTATAGAGTCTTCCGCTATTTTAGACAGTGAAGACGTCAGGGATATAGGTCTAAGGTTCTTGTTGATGTCTTCAACTGTTGGTATTTTTGGAAGAGGAACGACATTAGCAATTTTCCAGATTCCAATTCTCCTCCGCAGATGAACTGTATATTAGTTCAAAGAGCTGCTCAACACTTGTTTAACAAACTAGATCAACACATGTTTAACAAACTTTCCTGCAGTTGTTCAGTGAATGATATAACATTCTAAAACATTTAGTCTCTGATCAAATTGTCAATAAGCCCTACCCTGGGGGATCCCTGTGTCAATAAAAATCTAACAGCCTCTGTCAGGGCTCACCCCGTAGGGGCAAGACATTGATAGGTGCATATTAAAACAAACACAAACTTTTCTAGCCTGGAAGTTTGAGCGCGTGTTCTCATCAAAGCCAATTCAAGGCTTCAAATATCATAAATTAATGTCATTCAGCCCTTACCTGAGAACAAAACACGATGAAGGGAATATTTAGGATTAAAACTTCATGCGGAGTTCGATCGAGTCAGCATTACATGTGCAAAGCTGTACCCCCGAGCCTTCCTTGNGATATTAGTCCCCCCCGGGTTCCTGGTAAAGGTTTTAAGGTCCAAAAAAGGCTTTACCGTAATGTTTTTATGGTCAAAAGCGGCAAATCTTTTTTGTTAGTTAGGAAATTTTTATTTTCCTGGCAAAAATTCTTAAAAAGTATTCCTTGGCTGGAGAGTTCTTTTTCTGAATTTCTAGCTGGCAACCAGTTGTGACTTACAACTGGCTACTTGCTTATGGTACTTGCTACATGTTGCTAGGAGAGTGCTTGATATATGCGATGCAATCAAGATATCTTTTTTTAACTCGGAGATCTTGCAGGATAAGTTACTTATTTCTCATCAATTTTTAGAAGAAGAAAAACATTGTTACTTTAGATCGTGCAATCGCTGTTCGACGATTGACATTCGCTATTTTATCTGACAACCTTTTTTTGAGGCTATTCCCACTTTGTAATTCGATTCATGGAAAAAAGTGAAGGTACTAGATGCAACGAGTTTTCGTTTTAGACAATATTAATTGTTCACCAGCAAAATGACTGAAACATGAGATAATGTAAATTCCCTTTAAAGTTAGCAAAGT